TGGTGATTTTGAATCATAAAAACGAGTCGGCTATAATTAAAAAAAAAAAAACCCCCCTTACAAAAAAATATCCGAATCTATATGATAAAAATGTAGTTCTGTAAACTTATGTAATTATTTTGATGCCGCTAATTTTTAATTGAACATAGGATGATAAATTTTGAAATGAACACAATGAAAGAAAAATATAATTAATCTAATTAATCTAAAAAAAACTCTTCATAGTATATACATTTGATTAAAATACAATAATTAAGGAATTATAGTAATAAATTTGTAGGCGTTATTGAATTAGGGATGAATTAGGGATGAATTAGGGAATGAATTAGGGCTATGGTAATTTTAATGTAAAATAAATGATTGGGAATTAGTAAATTAGGAATTAAAACGTTGGTTATTCTTATAATTATTAATTGTGAATAAGCTACGAATATTAGGAATAACGAATAACAATATATTCAATTCATCACAAATAATTTTGGCCATATACTAGAAAGGAAAAATAAAAGTTAATAAAAATTTCGATTAAAAAAAAAAAAAGAATTTTATATTTATATAATTTATAAAAAATATACCATTTCCAATACGAATCGATGCCTTTATAAGTCGCCAATAATCCGTCCTTCTTCTTTTGTTGGCAAACCTTAAGAAATTCTTCAGATGGATTTGCAATCTTAGAATTTTCATTCCAATAATAGCATATACGTTGTAGTAAAGTCTTTGATTGTGTTTTTAGAAAGAATTCCCAAGAATATATTGAAAATTTCCAATCAACAAAGTCTAATCTGCGTAATCTAGTAGGCGTATGACTAAGTAATTGATATAATAGAATATCGCTATTATCATCATTCAAGGTGTCAGGAACAGCACAAAGTTTTAAATCTTTTAAATGTTCGCAAGCCTCCAGTAAACGATCAAGTTGAGGATCCGTGCGTGAAACTGGTATCGAACAGGATTTCAAGTTTGGACATTTATTAGCAATTGTGTAAATTAGAAGATTACATCTTCTTGCATCTTTGATTCGAGAACCTTCTATTGTAATTTTTCGTAATTTTCCAACAGAATTATCAATTAAATTTGTTAAATATTCCAAATTATAATCGTGCTTGCACCTAAACTTAAGCTTTGCCAGATCACGAAGTATAGGTATATTTGCTGAAGTCAATGATTCTGTATATTCGCATGATTGTTCGTAGATACATTGAAGTGTTAATTCTTGCAAATTGACAAAATCTGATAATTTTGCCAACAACGAACAAGAATTTAACAAATGTAAACTAGTTATAAAATGTGCTTTCTTTGAAAGTTCATAACCAACACCAGGAGATTCCCAATATTCTTGTGGCGACATACGATTAAAGTTTTCGAAACAAACTTTTTCTAATTTTTTTTGAATGCTTATCAAATTTGCTAATGTCTGCGTATTGTAATTACCCATGATTAATATTTGTGTAATGTCCGTCGTAAGTAATGAAAGTTGTTCGAAGATATTGTCCATTACAGGTTTATCTCTACACTCCAGTCCTTTTAATGAAGATAAACAATTATGTTTTGGATTTAAACTAGCTAAAACTTCACCCAACTGACCAAAAACATCCACTTTTGAATAATCATTAATTCGGAGTATATAAATCTTTGGTGATTCTTTAAGAAAGAGGGATAAGAGTTCAGAGCAAACCAAACGAATTTTATCTTGTGGTGGCATCGACGTTGAATCTAAGGTATTGGAACTGTTGCATAACTTTTTTCTAAATTTTTTAAAACGTTTAACGACTCTCTTAAGAGGACGGAAACCAGGTTTACTCTTGTTTTGAACCCATTTCATGACTAACCAATATAAAAATTCTAAATCCAAACAACGTAAATACATGGGATAGTTAAAGGTTGTTGAAGATGAAATAGATGATACATTAAATCCGTTTTTTTCAAGGTTGACTATAGATTCTCGCGGTAATGAGGAAATATACGTATTGATTAATGTTGCTGGCTGCGTAAAAGATGGTTTGGAAAAAGGCATATTAAAGAATCGAGCCCAGGGATCTTTCCATAGAATAGGGACAGATAGTTCACACCAAAGTCTATTAACTAATAGACAAGAATGTAAAGATTCAGTGTCGTGTCGAAGAAATTTCAATACCTCATGGATACAATCCACGTTGGTTTGAAATGTCATCTTGTTGATTATTAAGAAGAGAAATTTTTCTGAAAGAAATACGAATTTTAGGTAAATATAACATGCAAAAAAATGCAAAAAAGTAGGGGGCGCTGTTGTGTGTTGGTTGGGCGTGCATCAATTTACAATCAATATATTCGTCATATTGTTGAACCTAGTCACATGGCTTGTTGCTTATTCGCCGTGTCGGAATTAAAGTTGATCTTTGCTTTTAGGGGATCGATTAAACGCAGTGTAACCCTACAATTAGCTAACCATTAGTGGATATGAGAAACTATATATATTTGATCTTGTTTCTCAAATTTTTATTATTTGGCGACCATCAAATAATAACAAACTTTGAGATTATATAACTTTCCAATAATGTACTTTTTGACTGAATATGAGATTATTGGAACAATCATTGGAAATAAGGTACGTGCGTAATTGATATCGATAACAATGCGGTACGGACTATATTAAGACTGTTAGAATAAACCTTGGATAATGTTGCAAAGCTTCTGAATAGAAATAAATTTCGATATTATTTGTTTCAATAATGTAAAGCAATGACTATATTTTAATAGTATTCTAACTTTCTATGTTTCTTCTAAAGATGCTTTTCAAGAATATTCTCAATACATCCTTTTAGCACTATAATTTGTATTTGGTAACTAGAAAGTTCATCAGAATATCGTGGAAACAATTTTCATGCTTTTAGACTCATGGAAGACTGTCAATATAGATTTTGTGTTCAAATCTGAGACAAGCTTGATAAACAAATCAATTTAAATCCATTTTTAGATCTAATCTACTTGTTAATAATCTACAATCTTTCTATGCATAATGCATTGAGGTCTTTGACAGATTGTTTAATGTTTTAAATAACGTAATCTTTGAAGACTTATTTACAGGTGCGTTATAATGTATAGAAAAATAGAAAGATTTACATTAAGATGAAGATTAGTCATGTCACAAGAAAAGTGTTTGCCTAATGATTTCCAATCCATACGGACTTAAATCAGACCGTACGACTAACGTTTTTTCTTTTAATATCGATTTACAGATTAATATCAAACACATTTTTTAATGATCAAGTATTACAGTAATAGACACTGATATATTAAGTATATAATGATAAGTCACGAATTTGACGTACTCTGACTTAAAGATCACGAGTTCGACAATTTTTTTTTGTTAAATGACTAAGTTTCGTTGTTAAGATTTCGAGATCATTGTCCCAAAAGTACGTTAATGATATCCTATAAACAATGATCATTTCTTGTAGCACAGGTAATACAAATCGTGTTTGGCCAAGTATAATTTTTGTGGAAGTAGATGTCGATTTAGTATGTTACACTGAATTCGTATAATTGCCCCTTAAATTTATGTTAGTAATCATGTAATCTTGGGGCGTCCCATATACTAATCCAATAGTGCAAATTTATGCATAGATCGGCAAAATCGTTAAATTTATTTTAGCGAAGATTTAATTAATACTGTAATATGTTACAGTTGAAAATTTTCTTTTACAAAGTAAATTAGTAAGAACTTCCCCGTAATATATGTTCAAACTAGAATTTAATCTTTAAAATATTTAATTAATTAAAAATCATAAACTATGACTTTTTTGCTATAGAATTTTACGATTTTGCTGATCTATGCACAAATCTGCACTATTGGTACGTACCTGGCATAATTTGATTAATTAGTATATCGGAACCCCAATGTAATATGCACAATTTGTAATATGTTAATTACCAGGGGCATGCATACTACGTATTACTTCCGCAGCGGAGCTCTCACTATTGAACACACCAAAATTGTCAAGGTAGATTGATTTTGATTGGCTAAGAGCGACGATCAAAAATTTAGGCCGAAATTTTACTAATGACACCACAGCTGCCCATTAAGTGAGAAATGCTTCTAATTTTACCATTGTGTGGCTTATTTCTCTAAAAATTTCCATTTTCAGAAAAGTTAAAAAAAATTCAAAAAATTATATAAACAATTATTATGTAATGCGGGACAAAATTTTGATCACGGCCGTTAGCAACAGTAGTTACATCACCACCACCCAATTAATTTCGCTAGCCAATCAGATTTCAAGATCCTGTATAACGTAAAAGATGCGCAAAAGAATCAAAACAATAAAAAAACGCTTGTAGCTAATCTACTGGTGGGCCCTAACCCTAAACTAATTGCGAAATAGTTTTTTTTTTAATAAGATTGTCGCTATAGCTGTTAGCCAATCGAAATTACTGGGATAAAATCACCACCCTAAAAAATTTCACGGCCAATCAAATTTTAAGATCAGGCAATCGTCAAAACATAGTCAGGGTACAAAGATTATTAATTTCTAATTTTATAATAGAATTTTTGTTTGTACTTTCTCTACGTATGAAAAATATGAAAAATAAAAAATTAACTAGTTGATTATGAGCTACTTTTATTTTATTTAAAAGTCTTATTATTTTCTTCTTATAATCGACTTCTTTATAATATTTTTATAATTTGATCAATAATTTACAAGAAATTTTTTTACAATCTAATTATAAAATTATTAAAAAGAGTTCTATTACATAAAAGAAAATGATAAGAGCTTTTAAATAAAAAAATATTTAGTAAATTAGATTATTGTTAAAAAAAAATAAATAAAATTTTTGATTTTTTATGATTTTTTATAATTAAATAACATTACGGCGAATTTATGAAATACCCCGAAATTTGAAAATTTTGACCACTAAGTAAACAATAATGATTTTTGACCGAAATAACTACTGTCCCAGGGTGAGGGTGCGTCATTATAATAAATATATATATTTAATAAGGTGGGGAAGAGGTGGGGAAGATGGGTTAGATGTATTATTAATCAAGATCAGAGGTCCAAAAAACTTTTTTGGGGTTTAACATTGATTTATTTATATATTATTTGGTAACTAAAATTTAAAATTGGGAACCAAATACTCAGATTTAGTAACCGAATTATAGCTTAATTTCATAAATTCGCCATAATGAAAAATATATATAATCTTTTGTTAAACTAAGAAGTTTAAAAATATGTTAAAGATATAATAAAGTGTGCCAAAGGGTGTGGCGACTTAGTGTAGTTAGTAAGTTATCACACCCCCAAGCGGCAGGACAAGAGTTCAAATCCCACTGGTGATGAAATTTAAATTTGCAAAAATGTGTTACGATAAAACTGTATAATATACTGATCGGATAAGCACCTGTGATTTTGGTCTCACCAACTTATATTGAGAGATTGTGGAATGTAGTGTAATGTATGAGTTACATGAAACCTGAGTAAAGCAGCCAAATAAATCTAAGGGATCAGGGGATACGGAAGCCTGCTTGAGAAGTCCCAAGTAGAGAGGTAGCACAGATCTTTGACAATATTATGCAGTCAGGGGATTTACTGAATTAGGAAATCTGATTCTAGAATGATCCACGTGCTGGATCTTAGATTTGATTGGTTCGTATATGCCCTTTGGTCAGCATTCTTCAGGAATTTTTTATACACCTAACCCATTATTAAAAACTCACAAAACGATACCTTAATAGACGGTAAAAGACTGCTAGTTTCAATAATCAAAATTAATCAGCGCTGGTTAACTCTTGTCAAAAAGGTGAATAAGACTCAAAAAATTGCAAGATTTTATGCGTTTAAGAGGCCAATGTGTGAAAATCCAAGAACTTCAACAGCTAAATGGTAAAAGATCACAGTTACTCAATCAGTTTTTTATTATTTAGTCTTGTTAATTTTATTTACTTTCATAGATCTTAACCGTTAAACATAGAGATTGTTTAAGCTACTCAAGCTAAGTATTTTTAATTAATCAATCATGCTTGGAATTAATTATATTAAAAAAATTTTAATAATGAAATATTTTGCAAGAATATTTGCATAGCGCATACTACTAATCTGGGACTTTCTAGAGAAATAAAGAAATTCTGCCGTTTGTAGTACCTGAGGTTTTAATAGGTCTCAAGTATCAGATATTTACAGTCTTGGAGTTATCATGACAAGATTTTAACTGGACAAAGAGCATTTGATAAAATTTTATTTGGCTTGAAATTTATTATCATACTCTATATTTACATTACTAATTAGCACCTTAAAGATATCGGTTGCATTGAGATAAGATCTGAAGAAGAAACTACCAGAGCTACAATTATAGGATAAGCATCAAGGTTTT